GAGAGAGAGAGAGAGAAACATTGCCTTCCATATGTGCCCCAACCAGGGATCGAACCTACAACCCAGGTGTGTGCCCTGACAGGGAATCAAACCCATGACCCTTTGGTGCACCGGACAAAATTCTAACCAACTGAGCCACACAGGCCAGGGCCCTTTTTTCTTTTTCTAAATGAAAACATTTGCCAGAGCTCAGTGTTGATATCACTAGCGGTGGTTCTTTAATTGCATTAACATTTTTCAACAAACATTTACTGAGAATTTACCACATGCTATGCATTCCAACTAAGTGCGAAAAAGCAAATTAACTGAGGCATATGGGTACATGAGAATTTGTAGGTTTTTTGTGTGTTTTTTTAAAGAATAGGCTGGGACTGAATTTATCTGATACCAGATTTTCCTCATAAACTAGCTGTTTGCAATAGATCTTCAAATCTGAAGCACACCTATGCTTGCCCAGGTGAGTCACCCCAGGACCGTGACCGTGGCAGGGTGGCTGTGCGGGGATGGAAAGAAACAGAGCTCACCTCCAGCTTGGCATCCAGGTCTGCGTCAGAGGCCACAACGTGTTCATCTTCCTTCTTCCCCGTGGCTTTAATAAAGGCCTGCTTCGTTTCCCAGTACTTCTGCTGCATCTTATTTACAACGGACTTATCCTGAGCATACCGGTCCTGTAAGTCCCAGGGGTAACTGCTAACAACATTGAAAGAACAATGTTATTCATGACGTTCATAACGACTGAGATATTTCAGAGTGAACAAACTTATCACAACATTGTTATACACTTACAACATTAATAAACATGTAAGTTCTTTCTTTTATGCTTATTACACCAAAAAAGTCAATCAGCTCTGACTCAAAAGCCTTAAAAGTTAGTGAAGAAATAGAACAACTTTTGCAGGAAATTTTAGAAACTCAGCCTTGAAAGGAGTGTAGATATCAGCAAGTAGGACACACCCCTTGTAGGATGGAGAAAGTGAGGCCGAGCCAGGCAGGGGGACTGGCTCCAAGCCACGAGTCAGAGATAAAGCCGGACAGCAAAATCCTCTCCACTCCAGCCTTAAGGCCAACACTGAAGTGATGGCAGAAAGGCAGAGATAAGGGGCTGAAAAATAGCACCCTTACAATGTCACAGAGGTGCCTAAAATAGTCAAACTCAGAGAATCAGAGCAGAACGGTGGCTACCGAGGGCTGGACAGGGTGAGGGGGAAATGGGAAAATTTCTAATCAGCGGTCATAAAGTTTCAACCATGTCAGATAAATGAATTCTAGAGATGCCACATTGCCCCTAGAGTTAACAACATTATATTGCACACTTTAAAAACTGTGAAGAGAGTAGATGTCTTACCAAAGTCAAGTAAAATTAAAAAAAATTTAAGAAAATCTATTACAGATTTCTGATATTAGAACTTTAATTCCTTAACTATAAATGTTTAAAGTACATTACATTCTTCAGGAAGAACACAGTGAGAAGAAAAATTGCGAATAAATTGGAATTCCGTAACAGTGAACCTCAAATATTGACAGCAAGTTTGCTGTTGGCGTTCCATCCTGTGCCGTGTTGTCTATGAGCTCCTCCTGCTCCAAAGGCCTGCGCGGGACCCGTGTCTCTCCTCCACAGGCATGCCTCACATCCCACCCCATGGCACTGCCCCTCAAAAGGTGAGTCCTGTGTCCCAAAACATGAGTTGTTCTACACTACCCTATCAAAATACCTGTATCTCTAAACATGATTCTTTATAATCTCCTTCCAGTTAGCATTTAAAATTTTCAACCCACAGATGTATTCTTTAAAAGCCACAAGGGATTTCAGATGACTTTCTTAGCAATGGTTATCTTTAGAGAGAGAAGTAGGATTGGAGGAACTTTCATGGTTTCTGCATTATTTAGAAGTTTTATTATAAGCTTACATAATAGAAAATATCTATAACTTTTATGTAAAAGACGACCTCTCTATAGAGTATGTGCGTTAATAGATTGGAAGGATATACACCCCCACCTCCAAAAACGGGTTATTTCAGGGGAATGGAATTTTCAAGAATGGGGAATTGGGTGGACTTCTTTATACTGTATCTTCCCCCACTCTCTCCAAAGGTCATGAATTAACAGTAAAAAATTTCCATTTTGAAAAAAACAAAAGGGACTTTATAGAGATCTAGTGAAAATGTCTCACCCCAGCCCCAGTCATTTAACAAATGAGGAATCTTAGGTTTTAAAAGGTTAAGAATCTTATGTAAAGTCATACAGGATTAAAATCCAGGCCCCTGAATCCCAGTCCAGTGCTCATTTCAATGGTCTCTGCAGCCCTTGTGTTTCAGCAGCAAGCAACGAAGTAGCAGAGTAAGTGGGAGAAAGACTTTGGGGAAGGGTCCACTTCTTGGGGCTCTGCCGTCTCTCTCATACAAGTGACTACCCACTTCCCCCAGCCTGCTGCCAGGATGTGACAGCCATTAAGAGGGTCACAGGATGGAACCATCCCCTTGTCTTAACGAGTCAAGATGGAACAATTAAAAAAAAAAATCTGACAACTCTTAGTTAGAAAGCAGTCAAATGGGGATACTCAGGGAAACTAAATCCCTCAGCCATTTATTAATTACCTTTAAAACTCATTACATTTTAAGAGATGCAAAAATTCTTTTGAAGTGTGACATCTGATATTAAAGAGGCCTTGGACCTGATTGCTTCTCTACTGAGAGAGGAGGGATTAGAAAGTGTATTCTTTGTTTTAATTAATTGTGCATTTGATAAACAAAAAATATGCACCACATTCTTCATGATACAAATTAGAGGTGGTAAAACATGACAAGGATCTGCTAGCCTGGCAGGGCCAGCATTCAAAAGGGGTCAGAGGCACTGCTTGAAACAGATCTGGAATTTATAAGAGGTTAACCATGCTGCTTAGATGTGTTATAGGCACATAAATGTCAGTGCTGACACTGCCATATGATGACTACATCTACTTTATTCGTCATCATTAAAATAGTGATTGATTGATTGGCTCCTGAATGTTCATGAAGGTTGAAGCCATGACTATAAATTAATGAGTCTGGGTTTGTGTTCATTCATTATTTTATAGTTTCCCTACATAAATTCCCTTACAACCCTAATATTAGAAATTATAAATAAGATAGTGATTAAAAAAAATGTATCAACTCATTGCATTTGAAGAAATGGTAGTAAGAAAAACCAACATTAGATTCTCAAGAAAAAAGTTATATATAAATAAATTTCTTAAAGAAAACTCTTAAGAGCTTATATTTTTGGTTACTTGGTTTCCATACTGCATTTAATAGGGATCTTGAGCTTGACTATATTCAATATCAGATAGGGACCAACAGGTTATTAATTGCTAATGTGACTCTTCATTTTTCTATTCTATTGTCACTTATTGAGCATGTACTATGTGCTTTCCTCTCTCATCAGCCCCTCCCAATTCAGAAAAGACAACAAATTACTTACCATTTGTGTCCTGACATGTTCTCTTCTTTTACTTTTTCTACTGTTGATGAATTGGGAGAAAGGGGCAGGGGAAAAGCATGAGAAGATAAGTTATATTATAACCTGAAATAAAACAAATACGTTTAACAGTTACACACTATATTACAATTATATGTTAATTTGATACATAAAAATTCCAACCTAAGCCATTTCCAGCTATATTTTAGGGGCCCAACACTATTATACAGTAACAGTGGACGCTGGTGTCGATAGTAGTGTAGCTAAGTCACGCTGGAAGCAATATTCCAGGTGAAGTTTAAGTGAACGAGCAGGTTCAATGACAAAGGAAGACTGTAGAAGACTACATAAAATGAGACCACAGCATGCAATGCAATACCATATACTATTAAAGTGTAGAGATATTAGAGCAAAGGTATAAAGAATTGCTTAGGAATGATGGACACTAAATTCCAGGTAACAATTGCCACTGCCCTGGGGAGCGGGGCATATTATTCGAGAGGTGCATGCGGGGACTTCGACGGTACCCGTGGGGTTCTCTTTGACAAGCTAGGTGGCCTCTTTGCATCCCTATATTGCGTCCATAGGCCTCTTTACAGATTTGAAATATCTCATAATCCGTATATCTAAAAAACGAACCAGCCCATTGGAAAAACAAAAAGCAAACAAAAAAAGAGTTGATTGACTAGAATGAGACACCAAGAAGGGTAAAAAGGAGGAAAATGTGTTTATTTCTGTTTTTACCAACCTAATATTGTATTTTCATCTCATTCGTAAATATGGGAGTCACTCGATGCCTCTGTCCCTCACTGCATCTGCCCCACTCATGGAAGCTAGTGAAGCAACAGGGAGAGGCAGAGCCAACTAACCAGCCACACTCACCTGCCAGTTACTGGAAAGAGCGGTGAGCTCACTACCTAAAGGGATGGCCTCTGGCCAGGCACAGGCTGCCGGCCGCCAGGGTGGACGCTCCCAGCAACTCCAGCACAATCAATGCACTCGTTCTCCCTTGGCCTTAGCAAGGGTACCAAGAACTAGTATCCCTAAAATGATTCAAGTTTCCCAGGCTTTTAAAAAACGTGTTAAGGGATCTAAATTGAGTGTTGAAATTCCAGGCTTCAGGTGCGAGGAAGGAGGACACTTTCTTAGAGTGCCCAGATGCCACTGGAATGACAGCACCCCGTAGTCGGCATCTCTCTTCCCCCTGGAGGGCATCCAGGTTTTTGGACGAGTTGCGTTGGAAATGACATTCGTGATGAGTAAGCCTTGCCCTCCGCTCAGTAAATCCTGGAGAGGCCATGAACCGCCCACACAGCTTCACAGCAAGGACACATTTACTTTATTTAGCTCAAAGCCCCCAACAAAATTTCTCAGAAAAAGACATTGTTCAAGGAAATGAAATGACTATACTCTTTCCTTGAGTTCAATTTTGCCAGGAACTATTAGGATAGTTAGTACTTTCTGACTGGTATTTTTATTGGAGTAAAAAAAAGTAACATAAATTAATTCTCAACAATTTTTAAGTGTATAGTACGGTATGGTTAACGATCTCCAGAACTTTTTCATCTTGCATGACTGAAACCTTACGCCCACTGAACTCCTCCCCGTTGCCTTTCCCCCCAACCACCATTCGACTTTCTGAGTTTGACTGTGTTAGACACTTCATGTAAGTGGAATTGCACAGCCTTTGTCTTGTGATTGGCTTATTTCCCTTAGAACGATGTCCTCAAGGTTCATCCATGTTGTAACATATGACAGGTTTTCCTTCTTTTTAAAGACTGAATAATATTCCATTGTACGTATGTAGCACATTTCCTTTATCCCTTCATCCAGCGATGGACATTTAGGTGGCTTCCCCATCTTGGCTATTGTGAACAGTGCTGTAATAAACATGGGTATGAAAATATCTCTTCAAGATCCTGTTTTTTATTTTTTGTAAGCTCATATGTACCCAGAAGTGGGATTGCTAAAATCATATGGTAGTTCAATTTTTTGTGAGGAACCCTCATACTTTTCCCCACAGTGACTGCACCATTTTACAATCCCACCATCAGAGCTTCAAGGGGTCCAACTTATCCACATCTTCACCAGCACTTATTTCTGGATTTTTTTTTTTTTATAGCAGTCATCCTAATAGGTGTGAGGTGATAGATCATTGCAGTTTTGATTGGCATTTCCCCAATCATTAGTGAAGGTGAGCATCTTTTCATGTACTTATTGGCCATTTGTGCGTCTTCTTTGGAGAAATGTCTGTTCAAGTCCTTTACCTATTTTCTAATTGGGTAAATTTTTTTGTTATTGCATTATAGGATAGTCTGGATATTAACCCTTTATTAGATATATGGTTTGCAAATATTTTCTCTTATTCAGTAATTTGCCTTTTCACTGTTGACTATTTCACTTGCTGCAACTTTTTGATAAACTTTTGGTCATTAAAATATTTAACAATTTAAGTTATTTGTGGTAAGGCAGATAATAAAATCACTGAGCAAACTGCTCCTTCTACCTGGACTTCCAAACTACTTCCAGATTATGATGCCATATGGCAGTGTTCCTCATGGTATTGTTTACAGGCCACTTGCATTGGAATCTTCTGGAGTGTTAACATGCTGATTCCTGGGCCCCATCCCTTACCTGCTGAACTAAAATCTCTGGGAATGGGCTGGGGAAACTGCATGTGAAATCGGCTTGGCAGGGGATTCTTAAGCACATTAAAGTCTGAGTACCACAACTAAATGGCCCACAGGAAAAATTATTTCTGGAAATGGATTTTTCTTGAATAAACTGCTGGATTATATGCAACCTGAGCAAAGGAATCATGGGTGGCGAAATCAAGTCCATTCCATAGGACACATCTGAATGCTAAGGACAGGGCAGCCACAGCCAGGACTTGCATCTCCTTTAATGTATGTCCAGCCCCACAGACCAGGGAGAATTAGTAAACAACTTTAATATTTCCTGACAAAACCATCTCATCTTGCTCTAGCACTTCCTAAACCCAGTGTCAAAATCAATACTTTAAAAAAATCATTACAATTGTCATCCATTCATTCATTTCAGTTCAGCAGTTTGGTTTAACAAACATACATTAAGAATTTAATTAATATGTGCCAGGCCCTGCCCCTGGCCTCAAGGAACTTACAATGTAGATCAGCTCTGTGCAATAGAAATATACTATGAGATACATATGTAATTTTAAATGATCTAATAGGCATGCTAAAGAAGTAAAAGAGTAAAATTATAAAAAATAATACATTTTATTTAACCCAATATATCTAAAATGTTATTTCATCATGTAATCGATAAAAAAGATTACTAATGGTGTGTTTTGCATTTGAGTTTTTATAACAAGTCTGAAATCAGGTGTGTATTTTACAGTTATGATACATAGCTGCTGAGCCCAGCCCCATGAAGAGCTCAATGGCCACATGTACTTAGTGACTACGGTATTGGACAGTGCAGTTTGAACAGGAAAGACAGACATAAAAACATAATTTCCAGACTCACAAGACTCTTTGACATCTGCAAGGGACCTATAAAAAGATCTTCATGAATTCCCAAATTTGTAAATTCTGCTGTAAAAATTTCATTTCCACTGTCAAAAAGAATAAAGTCTATGATTAGCTAATACTTCAATTCACGATTCTGCAAAGGGAGCTATTGCTCCACTTCTGTCACAAGGCACTTATGAAAGCAGCCCAAAATGAACCGTATCATGTCTCCAACTTTTTAATGGCACAGAGAAGACTTCCTAAAGTTCTGCTTATGGCTGCCTTACCTTGGAAGACAAGCAAAGAAGAGCAAGGATTAAGTCGCTTATGGACTGTGAGTCCCAAGGTAAGAAAAAACAAAAACACGAACATTGTTAAATTCAGCACCACTTGCCCACATGAGTGACAGATGAGCCAGTAAGAACTACTCAAAGAAGCAGGGGTGCAAGAGTTACCGGATCAATGAAAATCAAGTTCCAAATTTTGATGTAACAACTTTGAGGATGGATGAGTTAGTGAGGAACAGGCTAAGACAAGAAGCAAAGAGGAAAGATGTCTCCATGCTCAGAAGTGGCGTGCTACTGAGGTCAGCACCTCCACCTTAGGTGACACCATGACCACTGACCCAATTCTCTTACACTTTTCCAGGCTGCACCTTTCACCACATGCTACAAGGTCAGGCATTAAAACCACAGCTGTTCTTGACCACACCCATGTGGCTGAGAGACATTCTTGCCCTGTGGGGAGAACCAGAAGAACAGGGAGGAAGAATATTCTGTTCAGATTTTGTATAGGTTTCTGTGCAATAATTATGTTCATTTTGCCTCTGTGCTTTTCTTACATGTTTGCTGTGCTAAGTCTTTTTTTCTTACAGCACAGAAGTTAGACATTTATGTAATTACAAAGTGGTCCCCTGATAAGTCCAGTACCACCTGACATCATAAGTAGTTCTTACATCATTATTGATTATACTCTCTATGTGACTATTTTATAATTGCTCATTCGCACATCTTACCTTCACCTTTTTCACCCAGCCCACCAACCTTCCCCACCCACCTCAAAACCACCAGTCTCTTCTCTGTTATCTATCAGCTTGTTCTGTTTTGTTTTTTAGATTCCACATACAAAGTGAAATCTCATGGTATTTGTCTTTCTCTGTGTGACTTATTTCACTTAGCATAATAACCTCTAGGTCCATCCATTTTGTCCAAATGGTAAGATTTCATTCTTTTTATGGCTGAGTAATATTCCATTATAGATACATACCACCTCTTCCTTATCCAGTTGTCCATCGATGGACACCTAGGTTGCTTCCATATTTTGGCTATTGTAAATAATACTGCAATGAACATAGGGATGCATTTATCTTTTTGAATTATTAGTGTTTTGGATTAAAAAAAAAAAAATACCCACAAGTGGGATTGTTGAGTCATATGGTAGATTTATTTTTAATTTTTTGAGGTACCTCCATACTGTGTCTCACAGGGGCTGCACCAATTTGCAATCCTACCAACAGTGCATGAGGGTTCTCTTTTCTCCACATCCTTGCCAACATTTGTTGTTTATTGATTTATTGATGAATATTTTACCCACCTGTGTGGACAGACTACAACTGTTCCACTTGTTTTTACTATAGCCATTGAAAAGTCATTTTGAACACACTGGACAGCCAATACATACGCAAAAGTTTCTTCTAAATACTCCCAAAATAGTTTTCCAATTCTGCTAGGTTCACAGAATGGTAAAGCAAGCCCATTTTTTAAAAAAGTTTGATGCATTGCTACAAAGAAGAGAAGTCAGTCAGTCTGTCCTTGGCTGCCTTAAATCCTCATACTGAATTTTCTTCCTTGGAAATAGAACATGGGAAAGTATTTTCGTTCCATATAGGCTAACGTTCAGCAGTGCTGAACATTTGTTCTGGCCCAGTACCCCTTTCTATGAGCTTATGGAGTGAGGTAATGGCACCTCTGA